TCCGCACTTCGCGTGTCGCTCGCTTTGCGCCTCCCCCGTGTTTGCTCGGCGTTACCGCTCGCTACCCTCGTCGTCTTTGCTCAGCCTCTGATCTGCCGCCTCTTCCCCGTGTTCGCTCTCCTCTCTTGCCGTCCACCCTCTTCCCTGTTCGTGTTCCTCCTCTGCATCCCCGTCTCTCCTGCCCCTCGACCCGCTCTCCTTCAACCCCCGTTTGCTTCCCATGGCCCTGTGCTCTCCTTCCGGTTCGCAGTTCTACTCCCCTGTCACCGTCTCATCGCGCCCTCCGTCCCATCTACCTCTTTCTGTCCGTGACCCTTGTGCCCGCCCCCCTGCCGGCGCTTTGGTGTCTAGCGCCCTCCCCCCTACCCCTTTCGTTGCGCCTTTTGGCCTCCACGCTGTGTCCTGTCCTTCCCTGCTGTGGCCGTTTTCCGGCCCGCGTTTCCCCCGTCCCGCCCTCTGGCACCCGCCCCGTCTGCTCTCTTCCATTCTCCTTTCCTGATAGGGCGAGAGGTGCAGTCCCTCCGCCCTCCGTTCTGCCTCAAGTTTCGGTGCACTCCCCTGCCCCCCTGCTGCTCCTCTCTCGAAAGCGTGTCCGTTTTACCTTCTCTCCCTCTGCTCTCCTGCGGCAGGGTTCGCCCTCTCTCTCTCGATTCGTCCTTCGCCTGCCTCACTACGCGCCCCCGCACGTTTTGCTGCCTCTCCCTCGTGCACGTTATCCTTCGCCTGAGCTCTCTCCTCCATCTCTCTCTCTCGCCCCCTCCTCCTCTCGCCTCCCTATCTCCGCTTCATCTCATCGCTCGTCTTCTCTCTTTCTCCCTCTCTATCTCTCTCCCCCTCCAGACTTCTCTCCTCTCGTTCCTCCTCTATCGACCCCCTCTCTCTTGCTCCAACCCCTCTCTCCTTGCGGCGCACGCGCCGCGTGCGTGCGGTGCTTGCCGTGCGTCGCGTGGCGCGCGGGTGTGTGTGTCGTTGTGTTTGTCCGCTCTCTCTCTCTCTCTGAGGATCTGTCCTCTCTCCCTTCTCTAGGGGCCATTTCCTCCTACGTCCACGCCCCCGACTTTGCCTGGGTGACCCCCTTTGCCCCTGCTGCCTTTGTCTGGCGCGGTCTTCACTGCCTGTCCCCCCCCTCCTTTCTCACCCCTGTACATCGTCGTGTTTTCCTGCCCGCTGCCTGTCCTTCTCTCGCTGGGTCTCCTTGTTTGGTAACTTCCGTCTCATTACCGGCCCCCCTTTTTCATTTTCCCCCCTCTCCGCCTCCTCTCCCCCATCTCCATCCCGTTCCCTCCCCTCCCTCCCCATCCCGTCGCGGATCCCGTCATCCGTCCGTCCCTCCCGTTCCATCCCTCCGTGCCTGTTCTCCACCCGTCTGTCACCATCCTCCCTGTCTCCCCCCCCGTCTACTCCTCGCGGGCCCCCCTTTCATCCCTCATCTTCCCTCCTCCCTATCTCCCCTCCCTCCCCGTCATCCTACGTGCCTTCTCCCCCCGTCCCTGTCCCCTCCCTCGTGTCTCCCCCGGTCCGTGTCTCCCTCCCTACTTATCCCCCCGTAACCTGTCTCCACGTCCCTGTCTCCCATGCCCTCGTCTCCCACCGCAACTCCTCTGTCCTCCCTCCTCCCTGTCTACCTCCCTCCTGTATTCCCCCTCGTCCATTGTAATACCCCTACCTGTCTCCTCCTCCCTGTATAATCCTACATCCCTGTCTACCTCCAATAACCTTCTCCCAACCCATCCTCGTCTCTCCTCCATCATACCTGTTCCCCACTATTACCATTCTACACCTACCTGCTCCCATCCCTACCTGTAAGCCACCATCCTGGTCTCCCCCATCCCCTGTCTCTCCAAACCCTCCCTGTATTCCTCCCTCCAATGTACTACACCTCAAACCCTTCTCCCTACCTCCATGTGTACACCAACCCTCCATGTCTCATCTACCTCCATGTATCCATACCTCACCTGTCTACCAACAAAACATAGCCTGTCTCTCAACATACCTGTATGAACGCTGTTTTGATTGCCGTACCCCTCTGCGAACCCGAAAAAGCATGTGAACCGTGTGCTGGTGTGGTGGTGGGTGGAGGGATGTCTATAAAGCATCCTCACGGAAACCTCAGACTGTGTCTCTATAGGCAAGGTGTTCTTCAACTAGCAGTGGCGCTATGCCGTTTGACTGTAGTCAGGCAATTGACTGTATATTCGGAACTCTTTCAAAGTTACATTGCCATTATGGCCATCTAGCAACCTACAGGAATAAAACGAGACTAACTACTAACTACAATAAACTAGCTACTAAAAAAGTTGATCATATTGCCCGACGAAAGGGACTTATCAGGTCGTTGACCGTATGGTTTAGCAGGGCGTGACAGATTGTACCGCAGGGGGGTCTAACGTGAACCCAAACTTCGTACGCGAAGGGGGGGTTCTGGGGACAATTTGAAATTAGACCCGCTTAGATGCGTTTCATGCGGCGAGCAGCGGGGGTGGGTCCGGACCCCTGACGCCCGCCCCTGTACACGCCCCTGTTTACTATCTATATGTAACTCCAGTCCATTGCAGCATCTGTCCAGGTGTGAAAAATACAGACGGAGCGAGCGAGCGATTCGCTCTTCAAACCTCCGAAATCGCTCCGTAGCTCAAAATAGCTCCCGTAAAATTTTTGACGAGAGCGATTTTTCCCACAGACTATGGAAAAAGAGCTATCTTATGTAACACCAAGTCCCTGACACCTCTGTGCACTCACTCTCAGCTGCGTAATACTGTCCTGGGTGTATGCACTCACTCTCAGCTGCGTAATACTGTCCTGGGTGTATGCACTCACTCTCAGCTACACGTTTGTCTCCTGGGTCTGAGCGCACGGGGACCGCAAGCGATCGCTCTGCTGCCCGTTGCCGCGCGCCGTTGCCGCGGGCAACGTGAAGATGTCAGGGGCGGTGACGCGGCGGCCACGCTCGCTCGTCAGCGTCTCCTTGGTGCGCTTCTGCGACGAGTCGGACGACGACGAGTCGGACGCGGTGCCCCTTGGCGGGCCGAGCACGCCCCACTTGCGCAGCATGTTGGCGGCCGCCGCCTGGAACTTGCTGCTGTACAGCGAGTAGACGACGATGTTTAGCCACGTGTTGCACATAACGACGACGTAGGCGGCGTTGAGGGCGACGCCCATCGCGAGGTCGCGCGCGGGGTCGCGCCCGGACCCGAGCGCGTACAGCCGGGCGACGTGCACCACGTACATGGGCGCGTACGCGGCGGCGAACAACGCGACGATGGCGATGAGCATGCGGACGGCGCGGCGTTTGCGCGCGGCGGAGCGGGCGGGCAGCGCCGCGCTCCACTCGGACGTCGTCAGCGCGAAGATGACACGGCCGTACAGCGCGGCGACGACGACGAGCGGCGCGACGTAGAACGCGGCGACGAGTCCCGCGGCGAACGCCAGCGCCTCCTGGCGGTCGACGCCCGTGCAGTAGATGACGTGCAACGAGTTGTAGCCGCGGACGGCTCGCCACGGGTCGTAGCAGTCGCGCGCCGCCTCCGTGTCGTTGACGCGCAGACTCTCGAGGTAGGTCGCCGCGGGCACGCACGTGTCGTTGCGCGGCTTCGCCGTGGCGACCGCGTC